ATACTTCATGTCTCCATATTAATCTATAACATAGATAATAGTTACTGCCTATCAAACCTCTGATATAAATAAACTAAGTCTAACATTCTGAAAGTATAGAAGTGGATAGGAGGCAAGCATTGGAAGGACCGAATGCTCAGGGAGCAGGGACAAAGTGAGTGAGGTCTCAGGTGAGAAGGCAGACACCCCAGCCATGGGGCTCCAAAGACTGGAATGGGAAAGGTGAATACCAAGTATCTGAAAGTCAATGGCAATTCTTGAAGGAAATGTGCAAGGATTCCCTGATGTCTCCCATGAAGATTGGTGGGGAGAAATCATACAGCATCCAGCTATCAGCACGATCTCAAGTATTTACTGAATATCAGCTATGCACCAGATGTGGAAGATACAGATGTAAGAGCTGGGCATGACTGTATTCAGAGAATGGGTAGAAAAATGGAATAGAAAATTATTTTTGGCCTGGAGGGAACTATGAAGAACACTTTATTTCCTCCATTTTCTGATGAGGAAATCAAGAGCCACTGTGTATCTACCATAAGCATCATGCTGTATCTTCTGCGTCTTCTGTATTTTCAAAATCCAGAACTTCCCTTGTTATAGCCAATCGTTGCAAGTGAAATTTCTTTTCCAAGGCATAGTTAAAAGGCAAAAACAAGAACAGAAACAAGTTGAAGAAGAAAGTTTTACTACATTGATGACAAAGAGGATGGTGATAAATGTATCCTAAAAAAAAAAAAAAAAAAAACAAGACTAATGAGAAGAGGGAGAGCTGAGACTTTGCACACAACAGGTAAGCCATCCAACAATCTTATGAGGGGAATTAGTATTGCCATTTTACAGATAATATTTATAATAACAATAGACGTCACTCACTATGTGCCTGGTATTTTTCCGAGTACTTTACATCAACTCACGGAATTGCACAATGACCCTAAAAAGGAGGCACTCTAGAGTGGGCATTGAAGATGAAGAAACTGAGCTCGGCTTTAGTAATCTGTCCAAGGTCATGTAAGTGGTAGAGCTATAGTTCTGAGACTCTTCTGGGCTAAAAGAAGGGTCATTTCCTCAGAGGCTGTTGCCTATGGATTAAAGATTAGAGCTTTGGTTTTTCAAGAAAAAGACACGATGGTAACAGAATAACGGGTTCAGTGATGTGTAATGAACCAACTTGATGGCCACATCTAATCTGTTACAGGGAAACCTACGCCCTGTGGGAATCTCTAATACATTTATTAAATAATTCGAACAACTATTTTTTGAGCGCCAACCCCATTTGCACATGGTGCTAGGTGGTGGACAAAAGCACTCAGATTTGAATTCGGTCCATAAAACCTTTTGGATGAGTGAAGTGTACACGTTAACATTTGAGCTGGACACTTCAACTCCTTCCCCAGAATTCTCTGCAATGCTCACTTCTGCATGGCAGCCGGGCAGTCCATGGGCTTGGCCCTAGTTTCTGACGTGAGCAGTCCCGGTGAAATGCTGGTGACATTCCTTATTTCCCTTGCAGGAAGAGCTACAGACGTGTCTACTGAGATGAAAGGGGTGATTTGCAAGGGATTAAGAAACGGCATGCTCTTTCCTAAGAGACAGTTTCCAACAGCGGCCCTCTTTCACTTGTTCCATGTCAGAGACCACTTGTGCAGCACTGTGAGAGGACAGCAGGCGGTTGAGGCCACACGAGGGCAGCCAGCACTGGGGGGAGCAGACCCTGCTGCGGAAGGCACAACACACATAAAGAAACTGGTTCTGGAAGCAGTGATAAAGCCACTGATTCACACCCGCTGGTAGACCTCCAGCTCTGGGAGCCAATGAACGACCTCTGCTGTGTGCACCAGAGGCCGTAATCCGCACGTGGACACATCCTAAGAGATGCATCATTCCACCTACAACACGTAAAAGTCAGATCTTCAGCCATGTTCCCGTGAAAAATCGAGTCAGGGGCGCCTGGGTGGCACAGTCGGTTAAGCATCCAACTTTGACTCAGGTCATGATCTCATAGTTCGTGGGTTCAAGCCCCGCGTCGGGCTCTGTGCTGACAGTTCAGAGCCTGGAGCCTGCTTCGGATTCTGTGTCTCGCCCTCTCTCTGCCCCACCCCTGCTCACACTCTGACTCTCTCTCTCTCTCTCTCTCTCAATAATAAATAACCATTAAAAATTTTTTTAATAAATTAAAAAAAAATTAAGTCATAAAACCACTTCCGACGAAGAGTGTGGTCCCACCCAGCATTTTATAGAGTTTATTACTACTCCTTCAGTAGGTTCTAAAAGAATCCAACTTAATCCCCAATGAACTCTGTCAAGTAAAAGGAAGACAGGCTTGAGGGATATGTGGCCCAAAAGGATAAAACTTAAATGTTGACTTTGCCGGATGACAAAGATTTTAGAAAAATCTATGATTTTAGAAAAATGCATTATATTTCTCTCTGTCCACCTGTATTACTTATGGATACAGGAACGCATGGACCCAGTGAAAAGAAAAAACTAACAGACTACAGAGAGAGCTGATGTGAAAATGTAAGTAAGATGTGCATCACCTACATTTGTCTGCAATAGCACACTTTCTGCACATAACCCTTTCTACCCTCAAACACACACAGAGGTCTAGACCCCTCTTCACCCTCAACACCTAGTTTGTCACAGAAACAAAGCCAGCGTTGTACCCAGTGAAGAGGTCAAACTGTGGTGGCAAAACCACTACCATACTCCAGACTCTACCAAATGCCGAAATTCGTGCTGTAATTTCTTCACTGACAAAGAAATACTTTGCAAGGGGTTTGGGCACCATAAAATCCTTACCCTAATGATTTCATGGGTAAAATAATCAATCCCGGGGGCGCCTGGGTGGCTCAGTCGGTTAAGCCACCGACTCCGGCTCAGGTCATGATCTCGTGGTCCGTGAGTTCAAGCCCCGCGTCGGGCTCTGGGCTGATGGCTCAGAGCCTGGAGTCTGCTTTGGGTTCTGTGTCTCCCTCTCTCTCTGCCCCTCCCCTGATCATGCTCTGTCTCTGTCTCTCAAAAATAATAAATCCACAATCCTAGGAAGCCTCAATATCCTGGGTCCTGTTCAAAGACACGCTAGCCAGCATTACCCCTTATTCTGAAAATACCAAACCGTATGTGTTTAATTGTTATGGCAGATAAAACAGGCCACCTGAAGGGATCAGGCACAAGAATTCTATTTGCTAAATAGTATTATTAAATTTTAGTGAGTTTCAATTAGATTATAGATAATATCTAAATATTTTGACAACTTTCCCATTTTTTGCTGAAAAAAAAATGCCTTGAGACTTCTTTTCTCCACTTAGGCACACACTTTCCTACTCTATCAGAACCCGATTTGTTTAACTAGTCAACATTTACTGAGTATCTGCCATGTGCCAGACACGATGACAGAGATGGCCAAATCAGAAAAGGTGCCCTTCTTGCCCTGGAGATCATGGTCGCATTTGTAACTAATGTGGTAAGTGCTACAAACAAGTAAATATTGAGTTCCAAGAAAGCAGAGACAGAGGGAGAGAGAGAGGGCGAGGGAACTGTTCAATCATGCTTGAAACTTAGAAAAAATGTCAAGATTAACTTCAAGAAAGTCACGCGTGAACTGGGCCTCAAAGAATATACAGGAATTTGGGGAAAGGAGGGAGTAGGAAAATGTCCCTGAAGCGTGGATGTGGCCAGGATACTGAGAAAGTGGGTATGGCCAGAGAAAGGGGAAGGACAGAGTCAAGGGGAAGCCTAAAAGGGTTCACCGGGGCCTCAAGTACCAGGCAAAGCAAGTTAAACTTGGCCTTCTGGAACGATGGGAGAAGCTGAGAATTTTCTCAGCGGAAGAGACACATAGCTACAGTTCACCAGATGACTGTGGGATTGTGGGGGGTGAGGGTGAGTGGAGAGAGAGTTAATTCTTCACAGGGCTTCTGCTCTTGTGTGTCTTGCGAATGAGCCACTGAAACCTTTATTTTGGGCCATCTTTTCACGGATGTTTGTAGCAAGCAGCCTTGGAAGAGAGAGATGGTGTCTCCACCCAAAGCAAAGGGCAGGCAAGCGTATTTCCAACATGACTGACTGGGAGTCACAATCCCTTACCAGTAACTCAACGCACTGCATGTCAAATGTCCCCTTCATAATATCCTGTTGAGAAGTGGGGTTTGGGGAACTGGCCCCCAGATGCTGATATTTTGGCTTTGTCCATTGCTTTGAGAAACAAACTATCCCTCTTTATCCTAATTTGAGGCCAGCTCAGTAGCTTCCAAGTTCATAGTTCTTGACAAGAGACATGGAGAAGCTATTGGAATAGCCCAGACCAAAAACAATAAGGACGTATGTTTGCATACAGTCGACAGGAATGCACCTAAACCACAAGTGTTACTTAACATACGTCAAGCACACTAGAAGCTGCAAACGCATGGAGAGCCTGGGTGGCTCAGTCAATTAAGCATCTGACTTCGGCTCAGGTCATGATGTCACAGTTCATGAGTTCGAGCCCCTCATCAGGCTCTGTGCTGACGGCTCGGAGCCTGGAGCCTGCTTTGGATTCTGTGTCTCCCTCTCCCCGGCTCACACTCTGTCTCTGTCTCTCTCTCTCTCAAAAATAAATAAATGTTAAAAAAACAATTAAAAAAAATGTAAGTTGCAAACACAAATCTCAAAAGGACAGAAGGAAGATGAACGTCCCTGACGAGACTCTGGTGAGGGAGAAAGAGGAGTCTTGGGGGACTAACTTCAGAATCACAAAGGAAATATCTCCTGCATATGCATACAGGGGCCCCTCACCCCCCCCAAATTACACCCTTGATGTCTCCCCTCCACACGCTGAAGACAAATCTACTGCTCTGGGCACGGTACACATTCAGGGATGGATGTAAATACCAAACATCACTAGGATTTAGTGCAACAACAGGAAACACATTGAGCTTCGATTAAGAAGCAGGTCATAAAACTTATGGGATCGTTCTACACGGGCGTGCGTTGGCTGCCTCGAAAACCATTAGACGTCTTACCTAGCAACTCATAGAGAGAATTCAGAATCGACTTCCAAGCCTCGCCTCCTTCTCTCCCCGCCACGTCCGCGAAATGCGCCGCGCTGCTATAGACATGCAGCCTGTCGATGCACTCGAGCACGAGGTTGATCATGCCCTGGAAAGTTAACAAGAATTACCCTGAGAAACAGCGATGCTGCTCACAGACGAGAAATGATGCTCAGTTGATTAATTAAAAAAAAAAAAAAAATGGCTGGCCTGAAGTAAGCCTGTTAATCATAAAGAAAATTGAGGCCATGTATTTACATGACAGGAAGAAACACATTTGCATGGGAAATAAAACGTTCTTGAAGTAATGCAAGTGGCTTCTAAATCCTGCAGGCTGTTCTCAGATAGAAGCAGAAGAACAAAATCAAAATATGTGCTTCATATTTGCACGGGCAAGGTTTACTGCTAGATTAAGGAATTGATCACAACTGTATTCTACCATGAGTAAACAAAGAGGTTCACTAAAAAATATTCCACGTTGACATAAGGATTATTTTTTTTTAACTTTTTAACGTTTATTTATTTTTGAGAGAGAACGAGAGAGCAAGCGAGCACAGGAGGAGGACGGGCAGAGAGAAAGGGAGACCCAGAATCCGAAGCTCCAGGCTCTGAGCTGTCTGCACAGAGCTCAACGTGGGACTCGAACTCAGTAACTGCGAGACCATGATCTGAGCCCAAGTTGGACACTTAACCAACTGAGCCACCCAGGCACCCCAAGGATTAATTTTTTAAGTTTATTTTTATTTATGTTGAGAGAGAGATAGGGACCAAATGGGGGAGGGGGACAGAAAGAGGGAGACAGAATCCCAACCAGACTCTACACTGGCACAGAGCCTGATGTGGGGCTTGAACTCATGAACCTGAGCCAAAATCAAGAGTCCGTCACCTAACCGACTGAGCCACTCAGCTGTCCCTAGCATAAGGATTATTTTGAGCTGAAGGCAACTAAGAAAACATTCTCTTTTTCTTCTCCACCAGGAAGGGCGGGAGATGTTTAATCACAAGAAACAATGCCCAACGCTTATCAGCCCAGAGGCTTCACAGAGGAATCTACCTAAGAAACTTTACTAACTCACCCTCACCTTCCATTAGTTTCCGTCTGTATTTACCTTCCCACAACTTGCTGCCCCAGACGCTCAAAACTCCTTTCCTTTGTCTCTTCGGTTTCTACAAACTTACTGTCCTTTTGTTAGGATGCTGTACAAACCCAAGTTCTAACCACTCCTTTGAGTTGCTCATCACAGAGTGCTCCATGGATATGCAGGGTTCACCAGTTAATAAACCTCCACGTGTTTTCTCTTATATAGCTGTCTTTTGTCACTCTGATCTGCAGGGCCTCGGCCAACAAACCTGAGATGAGTGGAGGAAAAATATTTCTTTTCCTCCCCTGTAACAGCACGAATGAATCCTAGTTCTTAGGGTAGGCACTGTCATCATCATTTTTAATATTAAGCTAAAGATCTAATAAATGAATAAAGACAAGCTCATGAAAAGATAGCTTTGAAGCAAATAAAAAATCCGTTATACCACTGTGCAAGATGCTATCTAAATCTGGGGCTCCTGGAGGGCTCAGCAGGTTGAGCGTCCGACTCTTGGTTTTGGCTCAGGTCATGATCTCATGGTTTTCTGGGTTCAAGCTCCACACCAGGCTCTGTGCTCCAAGCAAAGCCCTGCTTGGGATTCTGTCTCCCTCTCTCTCTGCCCCTCTGTCACTTGTGCCATCTCTGTCTCTCTCAAAATAAATAAATAAACTTAAAAAAAAGATGCTATCTAAATTTGAAATTAAGCTTTTATTATTATTTCTAGATCAAGGTTGCCAAAATGAGGCAAAACACACAAAAGGAAGAGTTGACTAATCAAGGGAACCTATTTCACACAGAGTTGTAAGAGGGACCACGGCCCTAAGTACATTTGTCGGTTCCCGTCCGGATTGTCTTATGCGAGAAATTGAAAAAAAATCCAAAATCAATCCTTCGAATTTTCATAGCCCAGTATTTCAGCATGGTCTAATATTTTGGCAGATGCAGGATGAAAAGGTCTCAACAGGGGCACCTGGGTGGCTCAGTTGGTTAAGTATCCGGCTTTTGGTCTCGGCTCAGGTCACGATCTCATGGTTTATGAGTTCGCGCCTCGCATCGGGCTCTGCTCTGACAGTGCGGAGCCTGCTTGGGATTCTCTCTCTGCCCCTTGCCTGCTCTCTCTGCCTCTCCCTCAAAGATAAATAAATAAAAACTTTAAAAACTTAAAAAGAAAAAAAAGAAAATGTCCCATCAAACTCGTCCATGTTGTCACTGGCTCACGTTCACAGGTCTCCGTGCTTTCATACCACCACAGTCGCTAGACCCACCTTTTTTTTTTTTTTTTGTATACACACTAAAAAGTCCTCAAAAATTAATGTTAATTTCAAAGGCTGTTGATGGAAAATTAGGAAACAGTTTTCAAACTAGAAGAAGGTAGAGGTAGGGATTGTGGGTACTCGTCAATATTCTCTAACCTTTCTTTCTTAGACACTTTTACTCTGAAACATTCATTATTCCACACACAGGGGGCACTCAGAGGAAGGGGAGCACGGACTGAGCCGGTGGCATTTGCCAGCTCACCTCTGCCATCCTCCCACCGAAATTCTTCTCTATGGCAGTAATTCCGACACTCTTTTCAAAGGAGCATTAGACGTATCACTTGGTCCTTCTGTAATTCTGTCTATAAAATATGGCACGTGAACTCCTTTTTTACTGGAAGGTGCGTGAAATAAAATCACACGCGAAAACTCAGTCCATGTAAAAGTAAGAAGTGCATCTGCTCTGTCCAAGCAGAGAGGCTGGAGCTCTGTCTCTCCACAGGCGGCCTGACCTCCCCTGGGCAGTTTCTCTCTCTCAACACCAGGCTCCCTGGGGACCAGGCACCTCCCAAGAGCCTCGAGAACCTGCTGACGAGTCTAAAAACCCTCCAGCTTTTCAAAGCCTGTGTTCGTTCGGACACTTTGAGATACTGTGTGTCTGTAACAAACAGGAAGCGAACTGCAGTGCAGTGAATGATCAGTGCAGAAGGCTGAGCCGACAGTAAAATAAAATGCCTTTGCCAGGGGAGTGAAGAGTTTCACTGTTTCAAATTAGCACTCGCTGACAGAGACACAAAAATGATTGCAGGGTTCCTCCAAGGCCCGGTTCCCTTATGCCACTGTTTACCTGCTCATCCAACTCCAAATGCAAACCTTGTCAGAGAATCTCCCCCCAGAGCAGCGGTTTTCCGAAGACAGCAGCATAAAGGAAATGAATGTTGGTGGAAACTCACCTCTTCCTGGAAGAGATTCTGACGGTTCTTTAGAGCCCGTAATCTGTTCTGTTTGTCTTCATGCTCTAAGTGCTCGTCGGGGGGATGGAAGTAACCAATCAGGTCCTGCAGACTCAGACTCACAGATTCTATAGGGAGGTCTACTGTGGAAGCCTTCACTTTTTTGCTGAGCGCATCAAGGCCCCTAAAATACACAGCAAACATTTCTCGACATCAGCGATCTGCAATCTTACTGTTTTTTAGACCACGGATGAGTTAAAGCTTTACCCTCTCCCCCCCACACCCCTGTAAAAGGAACCCATAAGAAAGGTCCTAGTTTTCCTCAAACAGCAATAATTAATATATTCCAATAAAAAATTCTAAATTTCGCCAACTATATATGATGCTATATTAAATACACCAGTATTGGGGGTGGGGGGGTGCCTGGGTGGCTCAGTTGGTTGAGTATCTGACTTCAGCTCAGGTCATGATCTCAGGGTTCCTGAGTTCGAGTCCCGCATTGGGCTCTCTGCTGTCAGCACAGAGCCCACTTTGGATCCTCTGACCCCTCTATTGCCCTTCCCCTGCTTGTGCTCCCCCAGAAAGTAAATAAATATATGTTTAAAAAGTAAATATAGGGGCGCCCTAGGGGCGCCTGGGTGGCGCAGTCGGTTAAGCGTCCGACTTCAGCCAGGTCACGATCTCGCGGTCCGTGAGTTCGAGCCCCGCATCAGGCTCTGGGCTGATGGCTCGGAGCCTGGAGCCTGTTTCCGATTCTGTGTCTCCCTCTCTCTCTGACCCTCCCCCGTTCATGCTCTGTCTCTCTCTGTCCCAAAAATAAATAAAAAATTAAAAAAAATTAAAAAAAAAAAAAGTAAATATAGGGGCGCCCTAAAAAATAGGGTTAAGTGTCCGACTTCGGCTCAGGTCATGATCTCATGGTTTGTGAGTTCGAGCCCCGCATCAGGCTCTATGCTGACAGTGCAGAGCCTGCTCAGTGCAGAGCCTGTTTGTGATTCTCTCTCTCTCTCGCTCTCTCTCTCTCTGCCCCTCTCTCATTCATAATTTCTATCTCAAAATAAATGAAAACTTAAAAAAGAAAACCACCAGTATCAAGAGAAACTAGTCTAGACAAAACACTGAAGGGCTCAAGAACCAAATCCTACAAAGCCAATGGTCCCAATATTTAGAAACTAACTGATACACATTTTGAATCACCACATACTTCAAGGTCTAAGATGCAACTTCCCAGATTCATAATTCTGGGCTTTAATTGTTCTACTTTTTGTTTTTAGAGAGGGAATTGTTACCTGCTACATCACTGACCCTCACTGTCATTTTGTAAATTCCTGCCTGTTTAAAAATATATTCCAATGATTTTAACTTAAAAATTTTTCTTATTAATCAGAAAACAAGAAATTAAAATGCTTTTATCTGAAAAAAAAAGTATTTAAAATCGGACTAAGAAACGTTGCATTTTCTAAGCTTTGAAGAAAAACATATCACTGGCATATAAATGGGTTAATTTGTTAAGCTTCCTGACATTCAGACTTTTAAAATTCCTAGTTCTGAATATATCTGGAAAGAACTTTAAAATATACTATTTGTAAACCACATCTTTCCAAACTAAGTTTAGTTTTAAAAAGACACAACAGACACCATAAAAGAATGTGAGAATGCCTGTACTATAGTTGGTATAGTAATATTCATATTAGTCAAGACAAAATTTAATGCACACAATATTATACTTCCTTTCCTGCTCTCTGCATAAGCCAAATCAAATGGCAATATGTTATTACAAGGAAATGTTTCTAGCTAGCTATGTATTTTAGACTTCACATTTTAAAAACAATAAGAGCCTCGTAAGAGAATTAGCTTTTCTTTAAATTTACAATGCTCAAAAATATAATTTAAAATGTATCATCAATTATATAAGGATTACAAATAAACTCTGAAGAGCTGACTTCAGCCTTATCTATTACCTACTTTTATTATCTCGATAAGTCTTTCTATGCCCAAAAACTAATAGAAAGAACTTGTCATAAGAAAATTATTTCTCCTCTTTTAAAATCAAAATTTATATGCAATGAAGTATTCCTGTTCTAAACCTGTTGTCCTATTAAACTTTAGTTGAATCATAAATACATTGGTAATAAAGTGAAACTCAACTCTCATCATACTGAAGTAAATGAAATTCAAAGGTGATTCAAATATAACATCTACATTTTTAAACCTAAAAAGGAGCAATAATAAATGTCAGCTTTTAGGTTATTAAGTTGAATATATTCACTATCAGAAATGTAACCATTTAATTACTTTCCAGAAGCCTCCTGTCAGACAAATACAATCCAAGACCCTAAAATTGTTAATTATGTTAAGGTTTATAACTTCCATCTCTACAAAGACATTTATCATCTTAATTTATCAATAACAAAAAAATGAAGGGAAAAAAATAATTGGGGAAATCCAAAGGTAGTAGAATTATACTATGCCAGAGAAAACATAAAGCCTTAAATTCATATCTATATTTTGTTAATTTGAAGATTAAACAATATTACTACCACAGATTCCTCCCTTATATAATTTCCTTTAAGAATACATCATTAACATGGGGCTTCTGGGTGGCTTAGTCAGTTAAGCGTCCAACTTCGGCTCAGGTCATGATCTCATGTTCGTGGGTTCAAGCCCCGCATTGGGCTCTGTGCTGATAGCTCAGAGCCTGGAGCCTGTTTCAGATTCTGTGTCTCCCTCTCTCTCTGCCTCTCCCTTGCTCATGCTGTGTCTCTCTCTATCTCTCAAAAATAAACGCTAGGGGCGCCTGGGTGGCGCAGTCGGTTAAGCGTCAGACTTCAGCCAGGTCACGATCTCGCGGTCCGTGAGTTCGAGCCCCGCGTCAGGCTCTGGGCTGATGGCTCGGAGCCTGGAGCCTGTTTCCGATTCTGTGTCTCCCTCTCTCTCTGACCCTCCCCCGTTCATGCTCTGTTTCTCTCTGTCCCAAAAATAAATAAAAACGTTGAAAAAAAAAATTATAAATAAATAAATAAATAAAATAAACGCTAAATTTTTTTAATAAAAAAAGAATACATTCATTAATATACCTAAAGGAAAAGAAAGCTTCATATGTATTATGTACATTCCAGAAGAATAGAATCCCTCTCACAACACAAATACAAACACACACACACACACACACACACACACACACACACACACACACCCTTCTACCATCACCACCACCGCTATCCTGACCTGGAAAACAAGGAACAGAAGGGTCACAGAAAATAAACTGCGCAAGACACATAAATGAAGATATATTAAATGGCCTTGACCTTCACTGTAAGCAGTGAAAAAGAGAAGTCTGTCCTCGCATTTTAAAAATTAGGTTCTTAATAGTAAATAAATCTACATTAATAAAATGAATACTTAAAAATAATTTACTTTGGAAAACACACATGCCAATATTATAAAGACCTGGAGATTTTAAAGAATTTTAGTGCTTTCATGAATATTACAGAAGAATCAAATTATTTTACCTAAAATAATGTACCCTTTATAATATTCTGTAATTATGTAAAACATTCCAAAGTTTCTGAGATATCTTTAAGAACTGTACAAATTAGGAAGTCTAAAGGTTCAGCAAACACTAATGAGCATATAAGTAAAACCCACATATATAAAAAATACATGAATGTGATGAATTAAATAATATTAAAATAATTAAGTAATTAACTAATGGGTAAATCACAAAGAGAAATTAAAAAGGGGCGCCTGGGCGGCTCAGTCGGCTAAGCGTCTGACTTCAGCTCAGGTCATGATCTCACAGTCTGTGAGTTCGAGCCCCGCGTCGGGCTCTGTGCTGACCGCTCAGAGCCTGGAGCCTGTTTCAAATTCTGTGTCTCCCTCTCTCTCTGACCCTCCCCTGTTCATGCTCTGTCTCTCTCTGTCTCAAAAATAAATAAACGTTAAAAAAATTTTAAACAAAGAAAGAAAGAGAGAGAGAGAAAGAGAGAGAAAGAGAGAGAGAGAGAGAGAAAGAAAGAAAGAAAGAAAGAAAGAAAGAAAGAAAGAAAGAATGAATGAATTATGGTCAACAGGGGGTGCTGGGTAGCTCAGTCAGTTGAGCCTCTGAATTCTCAGATCGTGATCTCTCAGTTCATGCATTCAAGCCCCATGTTTGTGCTGACAGCTCAGAGCCTGGAGCCTGCTTTGGAATCTGTGTCTCCCTCTCTCTCTGACCCTCCCCTGCTCATGCTCTCTCTCTCTCTCTCTCTCTCTCTCAAAACTAAATAAACATTTTTAAAAAATTAAGAAAAAAGAGGACTGAACCTTTAAAAAAAATACATGGTCAACAAACATGAAATATACCTATTTTCACAATTCTTGAATAAATTCAACTTAAAAATTATTGTAAATACATACACATATATGTATATACATACACGTGTGTATATACATACATAAACTTTTCCATCAAATTGGCAAGTTTACTTATTTTTTAAAAATTATTTTCTTCTTAAAAAAATTTTTTAATGTTTTTCATTTTTGAGAGAGAGAGAGAAAGAGAGAGAGAGAGGCAGAGCACAAGCAGGGGAGGGGCAGAGGAGAGGGAGACACAGAATCCAAAGCAGGCTTCAGGCTCTGAGCTGTCAGCACAGAGCCTGACGCAGGGATCAAACTCATGAACAGTGAGATCATGACCTGAGCCAAAGTTGGACGCTTAACTGCCTGAGCCACTCAGGTGCCTCTATTTTCTTTTTTTAAATGTTTGTTTATTTTGAGAGAGAGCACAAGCAAGCAAGCAGGGAAAGGGCAGAGGGAGAGAGAGAATCCCAGGCATAGTGTAGAGCCCGATGTAGGGCTCGAACCCACAAACCATGAGATCATGACCTGAGTCGAAACCAAAAGTCACACACTTAACCAGCTGAGCAACCCAGAGGCCCCTCAAATTGGCAAGTTTAAAGAGATGTATGATACCCATCACAAGCCAGACTGTATATTGGTATAATGTTACAGAAAACACTCTGAGCAAAAGCTTGATTTAGTTTGAAGATATATAACTGTTTCCATTAGAAGGTATGAAACTTAGTTACTGTAAGAATCATTTTATTTTTTTAATACCGTTCAAAACTCACAAAGTATGTAGGCTTCATCACCCTCAGTGTGAAAGGAATATAAACAGGTCCAGAACAAGGGTATGTTATAGAATAATCCTAACCTGTAGCTATCAAATACAAGTTACACACACAATTTCTAAAATCACATTGCACAGGCACCTGGGTGGCTCAGTCGGTTGAGCACTGACTCTTGATTTTGGCTCAGGTCATGATCTCATGGTTTGTGGGATCGAGCTCTGTGTTGGGCTCTGCCATTGACAGTACAGGACCTGCCTGGGATTCTCTCTCTCTCCCGCCCTCTCTCTCTCTCTCTCTCTCTCTCTGCCCCTCCTCTCCCCCACTTGCTCGCATGCCGTCTCTCAAATTAAAAAAAAAATAAAATTACATTCCCTTTTTAAAAGTGTATTTAAAATAAAGACATAAAACCACCTAGCTCCCATTTTGTAATGTGTATTGCCAACCCACCAAATTGTAGGTTTACCACCGTAGTGTATTTTAGACTTGTATATTTGTAAAGCCAATAAAGAAGTCGAGACAAAACATCAAACCACCACAACAAAAGGAATCGTACCTTATAAATCTATTGAAAAGGAAGACAGTGCTCCGGATGACTCGTGCGGTCCGTGATTCTTCATGCTGAGATCTAGAGAGATTTAAGCCATCATCCATGTGACCTTCATGATGCATAATAGCCTGTGCAAATGCAAAAGAACCCTGCCATTACTCCCACCATCTCCGTTCTAAACATCTCCATCTAAGAAGATGCACACTTCAAAGGCGAGCCATAACAATAACGGTTCATACTCACAGTGAGCCAGACATGGTTTTATGTGCAACTATTCAGATTTATAATGAAAACTATGCTGTGAGGTGTGTTTTTTTTTAAGTTTATTTTTATTTATTTTGAGAGAGAGAGCAAGTGGGGGAGGGGTAGACAGAGAGAGAGGGAGACAGAGTCCCAAGCAGGCTCCATGTTATCAGCACAGAGTCAGAGGCGGGACTCGAACTCACAAACTGTCTCATCATGACCTGAGCCAAAATCAAGAAGTGGATGCTTACCTGACTGGGCCACCCAGGTGCCCCTTGAGTTGCATGATTTATAATAACTCATTCAAGTGGTATATACTTTTTTAATATTATATATATATATACTTATACATATACTTATATATATGAACACTTTTTTTTTTTTGCATTTACCACTTAAGTATTTAGAATGGCAAAATAATACCTGAAGTTTCTACTGATTTCCTGATGGAAACTTATTTCTGTCTTTACAAAAATGTGTCTACATGTTATCGTTTCTACCCATATTTTTCCCATAACCATATATCATATTCAACTGTTAAGAAAAGATACAAGGAAAATCTGATACTAGACTAGAACTCTTAGAAAGTAATATCTGAGTTAAGAATTTTGCTTCATTCACTCTGTTCCTGATGATTTGTGCAATCACATTTTGAACTTTAACCTTTCTGGTAAATGTTGTGGTATAAATAATACAGGATGCAGTGTAGCAAATCCGGAAAATCACTATTATAAATTAAAATAAAAAGCCCTGCATAAAACTCATCTCCAGTATCACAAGCAGTGTAGTATTTATCCTTAAGAGTAGTAGTAATTAGAAGGAAGCATGGGGTAGGGGGGGAGGGGTGGCAGAAAGTGTTCCTAAAATCTGTAACTTTGAGTTTTCAAGAACCCACACTAAAAGAGTTTTTTTTTTTTTTAATTTTTTTTTTCAACGTTTATTTATTTTTGGGACAGAGAGAGAAGCATAAACGGGGGAGGGGCAGAGAGAGAGGGAGACACAGAATCGGAAACAGGCTCCAGGCTCTGAGCCATCAGCCCAGAGCCTGACGCGGGGCTCGAACTCCCGGACCGCGAGATCGTGACCTGGCTGAAGTCGGACACTTAACCGACTGCGCCACCCAGGCGCCCCTAAAAGAGTTTTTTTAAAAAGTAAAATTTTAATTATATGTTTGATTTACCCCAATGTATCCAAAATATTATGTCAATATGTAATAAACAGAACAAACCTGTTCACGAAGTATTTAACATTCTTCTTTGCCTTCAAAATCCAGGATACTTAGAGTATCCTGATTTAGATACCAAACTGTTAGTGAAAATACTTGATTTGTTTTAGAATTGATGACATTTACAGTTGCAAGAGTACATTCACATACCTAAGCTGTTCCAAACATGCACAAAAATTCTCTAATAATTTAATTAAGCATAAGCTTTTAAATTTAGATTAATTAAAATCAAAACGAAAAATTCAGTTCCTGTAGCTCTAGCCACATTCAAGTACCAAATAGCCACATGTGGCTAAGAACTGCTGACTTGGACAGCATAGCCCCAGACCGTATTTCAAATTTATGGCAATTACAAGGGACAAAGGCAATGGGAAAAAATAATTCAGAGACATTTAGAACACGGGACATTCTACAACTGGCCTAGATTCTTAGTCAATGATAAAAACAAGAGAGGAAGTCCAAAAAAATGCATGAGCATTGATTGGATCCTGATATGAAATGAGATATAAAAGACATTCTGGGACAAAAGAAGAAATATGAATACAAACAGGATATTAGATGATATAATGGAATTCTCATTATTTATTAGGTACAAGAATGGTATTACTGATGTGTATGTGTGTGTGTGTGTGTGTGTCTATATGTATATATACACATATGCATATGAATAAATGCATTTGAATTTATGAGCCTCGCTCAAAGACCTCAAAGACAAGAGATGATCTCATCACAAAGATCATATGGGTCTACAAGAGAGTTGTCCCTGGCTTTCCATCCAAAGCTCTAAGTTAGGAGAGAGATGACTTAAGCCCAACTCAATCAAAGCAGAATCAGCCTCCAACCTCACTGGTCACTCCAAAGAGATCACAATAACCCTAAAAAAATCCATTCTGGAATGTAGATATGTTATGATTAGTAAGTCTATTGGAAATAAAGATTTCTGCTCCACTACAGTCTTTCCAACATCTCACATCGGTAGAAATAATACTTGTGGTGTTATTTGGTTCTGTGTAAAATTATGACATATGAACAATTTAGTACTATAGTACTAAAGGAGCTCACAAATAGTGTGGGATGGAGAGCTGGAGGGTGAGAGGAAGGACAGAGAGAAAGACAGAGAGAGAAGAGGACAGGGGAGGGGAGAGGAGGGGAGAGGAGGAGAGAGGAGAGGGGAGGGGTGGAGACAGGAAGGGAGAGGAGGGGAAGGGAGAGGTACCCTAGTAAATGAAATAGCACAGGACTACATATAAAATTTACTAAGTTAGGGGCGCCTGGGTGGCTCAGTCGGTTGAGCGTCCGACTTCGCTCAGGTCACGATCTCATGGTCCGTGAGTTCGAGCCCCGCGTCGGGCTCTGTGCTGACAGCTCAGAGCCTGGAGCCTGTTTCCGATTCTGTGTCTCCCTCTCTCTCTGGCCCTCCCCCCATTCATGCTCTGTCTCTCTCTGTCTCAAAAATAAATAAATGTTAAAAAAAATTTAAAAAAAATTTACTAAGTTATACATAAATACTATGAAAACATAAAGGAAGGCACAGGAGATAAACTGAGACTTTCAAGAAGAACTTTTAAAATCTTTAAACTTAACCCCTGCAGGACAGATAGAAATTGGGTGGAGAAAAAAAAGTTTTAAACGGCATTCCAACCGTAGTTGACGCTTGAACAACATAGGTTTGAGCTACGCAGGTCCGCTTACACATGGCTTTTTTTCAATAAATACAGTACAGTACTGTAAATATATTGTCTCTTAGGATTTTCTTAATATTTTCTTTTCTCTAGCTTATTTTATTGTAAGAATACAGTATATAATACATATAACACACAAAATGTGTTCATTATTTATGTTATTGGTGAACCTTCCCATCAACAGTAGGCTACTAGTAAAGTTTTAGGGGAGTCAAAAGTTAAACACAGACTTTAAACGTGGGTTGGTGCCCCTAGTCCCATGTTGCTCAAGGGTCAACTGTGTTTGCAAAAGCACAGTTGTGTATAACCCAAATTGTGTGTGTTTGTTGGCTTTTTATTGAAGTATAGCTGACAAACATAGCATATCAATTTCATGTGTACAAAATGAAAGTCAACCTTCTGGATGGAAGAAGGTATTTGCAAACCATATAACTGACAAGGGATTAATATCCTATATACATAAAGAGCTCATACAAAGCAATAGCAACAACAACAAAAATATAATCTGATTCAAAAAATGGGTAGAGGATCTGAATTGACATTTTTTTTCAAAGCCATGATTTTTTGAGAAACAAGGAATGTGGTACAACTGGTGGGCTGAGAAAACCAAAGACGATGCCCAGAGATTGGACAATGAATAGGTGAATGGGGCACGGATGAGATAAGAGTCAGGTCAGGAAGGGTATCATATCACTACCAAGAAGCATAGTACTTGTCTTATGAGAAACAGACTGTCAGCAGAGGACTAAACCGTAACAGTGTATGAGCTCTCCTGCTTTCTAGAAATACAACTCAGGCAGGAACAGGGAGAACAGAGTGAAGTAGGTAGACTATGCTAGAATCCAGAAAAGAGTGTATTTCTTCACTTGATATTTAAAGTCGTTATGTAACATCTGGCATTGTTCACCCCACAAAAACCAAAGAGATTATTATGGTGGGATTTGACCTTTTGCATGTAAATAGTGTTTTGCAGGTGGCCCACAGTGTTAGCTACCTCTTACCTTCTGTTGGTGTTTTATCGTAACAAAAAACGATGGCTATAAATCACATTTTTATGTAATCTTACCTTACGTTGTATGGATCCCATTCTCACTGATTTCACATCCACAGACTGGTAAGTAAGCCACAGGCCTGTATTTATATGTTGAATATAGCATACTGAGTCTCCATATTTTATTTCTGATGTTCCCATGCCATCGACTTCTTTTCTCACCCCTGCATCCAATTTTTCCTAAGGAGAGAGAGAGAGAGAAAAAAAAAAAGATAAGCAAATGTTGTAAAAATACTAGTTTATATTGAAAGAACTTTGCCTTACTGTAAATATGTCCCTTGAAATATTCAGCCCTCTGACATCCTTTAAAATACTAATGGTCAAATATTCCATTCCAGCAGTTCAAGCTGTACTGAAAATTGAAGTAGGAAGTTATAAAGATAAACATACCCTGAATTATTCATAATAATAGAACATTATTTTGGCTATAACATTTTATATTGCTTAATGGCAAACTCCAAACCAGAGATCTTAAAATTAGTAGCTTAGGCTTCATGTTCTTTTTTTCATCGTTGATGGTTAACAGCATATATTAAGAACAGAAAATCCTGTTTTGAGTTCAGTCTCTGCTACTTACTACCTCTGTGACCTTAGGATAACTTAATTAAACATTATAAGCCTTGGGTTTCTCATCTGTAAAGAAAGACAACAAAAGTTATCTCCCCCGCACCACAGTATCAGACAGCATGAGCTAATGCATGTAAACTTTTCAGCCCAGTTCCTGGGATAAAATAAACACTTACCTAAATTTTAATGATTCTGACCATGAAAATGGTATTGATAATGCTGACATGGATATTGCTGAGGATGTTAATACCAGTGATGGCTTCTTTTGAACTGATCAAAGCTATAATTCAGTTTCCACAAGGGCCACTTCCAACGTGGACCATGGAAGTATTCACTCCTCTAGGGCTACGAGGGTAAGCGCCCTGTGCCATGAAGGAACAGCCGATCCTCTGACACCAACTAAATATATAAGTCCCTATTTCTTTTAATGCTTCCTTCTTCACCATGCACTTTCAGTTTTCCCTCCCATGCTTAATTCTGGTCTTCAGGCACATGTGAGGTCTTGAAGTTCTGTATAGTCCTTAAAATAACAGCAAAATAATCTAATCCTCTTTTGGCTGCCGGATCTCCTTTTGTCGTTCCTTATTCTTCTCTTTGGTCTAACTTTTGTTGATAAATTTAACTTTCATCTATGCCTTTCCTTATTCAACTTTCAAAATAGTTACACAAATGTTTTTGGAGACTAGTTTGAGGTGATAGTTACACAATTAGTTGAAAATTACTAATAGTTACACAAATGTTTTTGAACATTAGGTTGGAGTAAACTTTATGGCTGTTATACAGAAAGGAATACTTCAAATAAAAATAATTCAAAACAAAGTTCTAATAAGATTTTTTCATGTGATCTGCACACTGTACTAATACTAATAACTCTAAGATGATTATGAACACTCCAACAATTGGAAATTAAAATGAATTGAAATTCTTAATACAAAAGGTCAAGGTCATGTAAGAAAATGAATACAATTATATGTTAAGTTGATTTAACCATTATGCAAATAACTTGAAACACTATTCCAAGAATCTGCAATAAAACAGATAATTAAGCTATCCCAATTTCATTCTATCAAACAAGACAAACTACTAATCTACTTGCTCCAACCCTATCAATGGGAAAATTAAATTCTAGGGGAAAATATAACAATGTAATTATCTCCTCAAAATAAAACAATGAGCCTCTAACATTCTAACTTTCTTGTTTTTTGTTGTTGTTTTGTTTTTTTGTTTTTTATCCAAGGGAGTTAGTTGGTAGCCTACTTTTACAGACTGTGGATTGTGTTTTGAGAAGTCACAATTACTAATTGTAAAGTTATGCTTTGTTTGCTTTTTATTAAATAGTTCACATCTCTCTCTGAATTAGTTGTAACCATAGTACGTCATGTAGAGTGTCTTAGTGACTATCTCTGAGCCTCAGGTCAGGCAAGAATGGCTAAAATAACATTAGAAAAAAGTAAAGTGATTATTTGCTGTATGAAAGAATAAAGGCCATTCATGCTCCTTCTTTCTTTTATTTCCTGTCATTTTCTGTAACTCAGACTTAGGGGGAAGGAGAAATTCAGGTAAAAATAATCCAGATGCTTTGAACAATTATAAGCAGAGGCAAAACATGAGTCAAGAATATGACAGCTACTAAAAGCACCTAACATAAAACTAGCCTCTTTTACTAGAAATAAGGTATCCAGGTTAGACAAGTAATAATTTTACTAATACTCTGCATTCACTCAACACATGTTTTTTTTTTAATTATTCTGGCTTTGGGAAATGATAGAGTAGTGGAGTTGGACTAATCCTCCCAGAGAGAACAATTGTAAAATTTAGAAGACATACTTTCCAGAATCTATCTGAAGATCCTTAAGAGGGATCAAAAGCAGGGAGAAATCGGAGAATATTTTTCTCTCTAAAGAAAAATAGTACCCATGTGATTTTTTTAAAGCTGCCTTTTGGGATGCCTGGGTGGCTCCTCTGATTAAGCATCTGACCCTTGATTTTGGCTCAGGTCATGATCTCACAATTGAGATCAAGCCCTGTGTAGGGCAGTCCCGCATAGGGCTCCATGCTGAGAGCATAGAGCCTTCTTGGGATATTCTCTCTCTCTCTCTCTCTCTCTCTCTCTCTCTCTCTCTCTCTCTTTCAAAAATAAATAAACTTTAAAGGCTGCCTTTTGCCTTGGGACATACCCTGCCCAATCTGCTTGCAGCTCATGTGGAAGGAATCTGCTGCCTTACTGGCTTGAGATATCAGAGAACACACCATAAGGCTCACAAGCAGCTGGAAAATTAGATGAGCTAAATCCTGTAGTGAAAAGGTATCTGCGAAGTCTGCTTATAAAATTCACCCAAATTCTTGCTGACCACTAAACTATGCCCTGCGGAATGAAACCAGATGAAAGCTGATGTAACTGCAAAAATACAAGCAACTGCCCATTGCAAAACAGAGAACAAAACTGGAGTTTCAGTCCAACAGGGTTAACCGCCTGCTGAAACTAAAATCACTCTTCAGGGGGGGAAAAAAAACCTTAACAAAATTCAGAGTCTCTATAACCTACCATTTCTTTTTTTTTTAATTTTTTTTTCAACGTTTATTTATTTTTGGGACAGAGAGAGACAGAGCATGAACGGGGGAGGGGCAGAGAGAGAGGGAGACACAGAATCGGAAACAGGCTCCAGGCTCTGAGCCATCAGCCCAGAGCCTGACGCGGGGCTCGAACTCACAGACCGCGAGATTGTGACCTGGCTGAAGTCGGACGCTTAACCGACTGCGCCACCCAGGCACCCCTATAACCTACCATTTCTAATACCCAATAGATACTGTCAAAAATTAGTATATGTGAAACACAAGAAAAAGTGATCATACTAAATTAAGAAAACAAAACCACTGTGACCCAAACCAAAGAAAACAGAATAACGATAGGGAATAGAAATGATGCACAGATAGCCCTTAAAATTAGCAGACAAGGACTTTATTTTTTGTTAATTTATTTTAGGGGGAAGGAGGCAGAGGGAGAGAGAGAATCTTAAGCAGGCTCCACGCTCAGCGCGGGAGCCCAATGCAGGGCTCGACCCCACCACCGTGAGATCGTGACCTGAGTCAAAATCAAGACTCAGATGCTCAACCTACTGAGCCACCCAGGCAACCCAGCAGACAAACTCTTCAAAGTGACCATTGTAAATATAAAATATGTTCAGTGACATAAAGGAAAATATACGCATAATGAATAAAATGATGGGACTCTCAGGTGAAGAAATATAAACTACATAAAATGAAATATAATAGCAAAATGAAAACAGTAATTGAAATATAAAATTAATTGGATCAGCTTAACATCAAATTGGAATTACTAAGAAGACAATGAAGTTGAAAGCAGGTTAGTAGAAATTTTCCAATCTCAAGATCAGATTGCTTTTATTTATTTATTTATTTATTTATTTATTTATTTATTTATGTTTTAAATATTTATTTATTTTGGGGAGAACACAAGCAGGGACAGGGGAGAGAGAGGGGGACAGAGGATTCAAAGCAGGCTCTGTGGCTCTACACTGACAGGCTGACTGCAGTGAGCCTCATGTGGGGTTCAAACTCATGAACCATGAGATCATGACCTAGGCCAATGGTGGATGCTCAAACAACTGAGCCACCCAGGCCCCCAAGATGAGAATGCTTTTAAAAGCACTCTGACATAATAAGTACTTTGCCATTAGGTAAAAACTTTCCTCAAAAGACCAGATAAAGATTTAATTCCCATACCTTCTGCATTTAATTGAGAAAGTGTTTAGATCCTATTATTTTAGCATTCATTAACATCCATACATTTTTAAATAGTCTAATTTTCCATCCTATAAAGAATAGTCTTGCGATCTGAGGACCATACAAATGCTCAGAAAGAAAACAACTTTTTTTGACACAGTCTAGAGTTATTGAAAAGGATTCTGTTTTTACTGTTAGGTGATCTTTTGGACATTTTCTCTTGTGATTCATGGACAACCATAACTCACAATACTTTAACCAGAGAGAGATACTGGCACTTCACTGAAATTACTTCTCAACTGCCTTCTTTCCCATTGACTATTAATTAGTTTTTCAAGGGCATGAATTATATGTCTGGTTCCTTCACCTCAGTGGCCCATATCCCAGGAGCAGAACAGTCCCTGCAAATCCTAGATTCTCAACAAAGATTTACTAAATTAATAAATCAGTTTTTGGGGGAAAAAATTGCATACCCCTTCAGAAACTATTCCCAAGTCTAACATTCAAATAATTCCACTTACGAATGCTTAGAAAACGTGATTTCCTAATGAATACCAAAAGAGTTTTAGAAGTAAAAAAGATCAGCGTGAAAAATATTAAGTGACATTTTGGCATTGGGCATATGAAATTGACTAGTAAAGCCAAAACTATTTGTGATCAACTGTCCATACGAAGTGATATACAGGCATTACATATACCAAATGAGGCCCATTAAGAAATTTAAGCTAGTCATGTAGGATTATGTTCTCATTATATGAACCAGGTAGTTCAGTGAGATTCTTCCAATTACACCATCCTTAAATCCATCCAAATTATTCTACCAAGTGGCTGATAGGAAGGAAAATAAAAAAAGGCCTTTATCCTTAGAGGACGGTGTGTTTGTTTTTGTAACAGCCAGTTCTCCGTTAAACAAATAATTGTTAAAGTTAGGAAAACTAAAAGCTCAACGTCAAAATATATATATACCCTTTTGCTTTTATATGGTGCCATACTTAAACATAAAAGGGTTGGTCACTGAAAAGTGTGAATCTAAAAATGTAACGGGGTCAGAGAAATTACTGGAACCGATATGCCAGGCCAAGCTCGGTCCATCCAAGGCAGGTGTATAAAAAATACATAGCTTTCTTTGTCCCTGGTGTTTGTTTAGAAATCTCACGAAGATACACTGGTGGGTGTGTTTGTAGAGAGAAAGGCCTTATAACATTTCTTGTGCTGGAAGGATCTTTGAGGGGTTTCCCTCGCGGCAAACAAGGTCACAGTGCCTTAGAAGTCCTCTAATATCTTGGATAAACCCCACCCCTTGAGGGTGGGCTGGGCCAGTGTGTATGATGGGATAGCACTTGTGATCAGATTATGTTCTATGGCAAAGGTGAGACGATCTTGCAGATGTAATTAAAGTCTGTATTGAATTGACTGTGAACAAATACTATGGGTGAGTGACAGTTAATCAGTGTGACTGTGAACCCTTTAAAGAAGGCTTAGGCTTTCCCTAAGCAGCTAGGGCCCGTGGCGTTCCATCCCAATCATCATCTTTATTTCCAGCCACTTGCGTTACGGACTCTAGGCTTACTTGGCCAGCCCTCACAATCTCATGAAGCAAATCCACATAATAAAAATCCCTTAATATACACATGTCTCATGCTGGCTCCGCTTCTCTGGTTGAACTTTGACTGCTACACCTTATCTTAACCACAAAAGGTTTCAGTGAGCTCATTCTCGTGCAGATTGCCACTAGAAAGAATCAGCATAAAAACTATTACTGAATTTCTCTATTTTCTGTAAAATTATAGTTGGCATTATTTTCTATTATGCTATCAAACATTGTTGAAAAAAGGTAACTGAAAAAGTTTATTTTGAATTTAATCCTGATTAGACACAAAATCCATCTCCATAACTTTGCATAACTATTTTGATAAGAAAAAAAATTCTCCACTTTGTTTTTATATTTTAGATATTTAATCAATCCCTAAACAACCATAATAGTCAGACTATTCCAAGTGAGCAACATATATTTTCTACCTGCCATTATTATTATTATTATTATTATTATTATTATAATAAATTTTCTTATTAAAGAGGGTTTTAGTTTTAGTATTTGCATCCAAAATCTGGAGCTGTCACACAACTCACCCAAGCCACTGTTTCCCACCTGCATAATGAAGATTAAAAATAATGGGGTTCCTAGGTGGCTCAGTTGATTGAGCATCAGGTTCTTGATTTCAGCCCAGGTCGTGATCTCAGGGTCGTGGGATCAACTCCCCCAAGAGAGATGCTCTCTATCTTTCCCCCTGCCCCTCTCCCTCTACCCCCTCTCCCCTGCTCTTGCTCTCTCTCTTTCTAAATAAGCCATTAATTAAAACATTAAAAAGAAAAATTAAAATGAAAAGAGTATCTAAGCTTCATAGGCTTGATCTAGGATTAAACAAGGTAATTCACTTAAGGTGCTTAGTACACTACTTGGCATATAATAAGTTATTAGCTGTTATTTTCATTGCATAAGTGTGCATGTTTTAAAACATCTTAAAAATTCTTTGAACTAAGAATAAAAAATTCCAAGTAAAAATGACATAATAAAAACTACATCCCGAAAATGTTTTGTTCTTTCTATTTCTGCCATTTGATCCATAATCATTAATCTCAATGGCAGCCTTATTTGAGGTTAGTATTCCATCATATATATACACCTTTAAGTGTCTTTATTTCAAAGACCAGGGGCCATGTTCAAATGTAGAAATGAACACAGGAATGAGAGAATCAATTTACACTATTTTCTCTAAAATCTTGACAATATAAAAAATACTTTATTTTAAAAATAACTTCATCTATAAAGACTTTTTATTCTGTTTTAGTTGGTTGTAAATTCAATGCTTCTTTATCATGTAAATGCATAACAATTTTCATCATAGATTTTAATTACTTTTTTATTTTTATAATGTTTGTTTATTTTTGAAGGAGTGAGAAGACAGAGTGTGAGCAGGGGAGGGGCAGGGAGAGAGACAGCCACAGAATCCAAAGCAGAATCTAGGCTCTGAGCTGTCAGCACAGAGCCCAACACGGGGCTCGAACTCATGAACCGTGAGATCATGACCTGAGCCGAAGTCAGATGCCTAAACAAGTGAGCCACTCAGGCACCCCAAGGATTTCTTTAAGTAAAAAAAATAAATAAATAAATAATTTTTTTAAGTTACATTATGATTTGCTTTTTATTTTAACTCAACAATATTATGATGGATATTTTTCCAGATCTGTATATTCTAATAGCTAATACCACTTACCTATCAACTATATTTGTTGAATATCTGAGTCTTTTCCAAGCTTTTGCCATAACAAAGAATGATGAAACTTACCTGCACAGGTTTTATTTTATTTCAGTAAAACAATCCCCCCACTAAAAACAATTAAATTACAGACTTCATGTATCCTACCAGTGGTTTTTCTCTTTATTTCTTCTTGTATCTCCTATAGGTTTTGCTTACTGAATATTAATACTATGTCATTTTATTTGGTATAAAGATTTGGTAACTGTTTACATCCTCAGTGAATTCTGCTCTTTGATACTAGGAAGTATCCTTCTTTTTTTCACTCAATGCTTTCAATGCCTGAATTTCTCCTCATCTGATATTAAATCAGACATCCTGCTTTGTTCTGGTTTGTATTTTCTTGGTATTCAATTAACCATCTTGTAATTTACAAACTTTCCAGATAAGATTGTTCTAGAAGTGTCTCATTATGTCAGCATTATTTATACTTCATGATCCAATATGACTGTTTTAAATTGTAATTTTAGCCCATTTTTATGTAATAATAAGGCAAATACACTGAGTCTCCACCTGTCAACATTTTAGATTTTCTATTTTTACATTTATTTGTTTTCTAATTGTTTGCTAAATGGCCTATGGTCTTTGTTGACTGTGGGTTTCTATGGCTATGCACAGCCTATTCTATGCACAGCCTATGCAAAGCCTTGTCCTCTTTCTTCTTTTAATTTTTTTAAATGTCTATTCATTTTCCAGAGAGAGAGAGTGTGTGTGCGATGCTGGGGAGAGGCAGAGAAAGACAAGGGGACAGAGGATCCAGAGCAGGCTCTCTGCTGTCAGCAGAGAGCCTAATGTGGGGCTCCAACTCATGAACCGTGAAATCATGACTTGATCTGAAGCTGGATGCCTAACCAACTGAGCCATCCAAGCGCCCCTGCCTTGTCCTCTTTCTACTGGACTGGTCTGTGCACAATAAGAATGGTAGTATTTTCCTCTTTTTTTTTTTTTTTTCACCAAATTCCCTCTTTTCCACCACCTTGTTTTAGTAAATTTCATTATACTTTAGTGTTTGCCTTTTCTCTGTTAAATATCTTATACTTCCATTACCTGATTTTTCAATTAAAAAAATATTTTTTGCCCTTATTTGTTATGGGAGGCAATCAGCACGCCTCTTTTTCACTTTTTCTCTTTTGCCTCTAATTTTTGTTCGATTTTTGCTTTGCAAATGCTACAGTGTGGAAAACTTTTCCAGTGTCTTTCACTGTGATATGACTGTTCAGGTTCTTCTACTTCTCTGGGATTTTATTTTGCTAAATTAGATTTTGCTAGCATATCATGTGCTCCCTTTAGTTTTTCTCATTTTCTACAATAAAGCTGTATGTCACTGTAATAGGTACCATCTCTTTTTTTACTTAAAAAGAGCTTCTACCATCAGATAACTGATCCCTCTTTAGTGAGCTGATTTTTTGTCTTTTTCTGACTGTGGTGTGATCGGTGGATAAACCAGCACCCTTCCCCTCTTCTGCTGAGTTAGGCTTGAGGAAGAAGCCCTCAACACCAAGCTCATTCACAATGAGATCAACTGTGCTTCCCAACTACAGAGACAAGGAGCAACTGTCCACCAGCGGTCCACAAGATACAGTTTTCAGAGCCCTTTGTGGGGCCCATACAACAAATACACAGACGCGGGTCCTGTCTGAGACTGTCCATTCAGGTTTAGCAGTTTTGTCTATTTTTCACCACACGGAATAGCTATCTACACTGCTGTCTCTCCCAGCTACAACAGGGGCATGAGGTTCTACATCTCTGCAACAAAACTACCCAGTAATCAGCCCCATTCCTACCATTATGCTCAAGTTTCATCCTTCATTCACTGAAGGACAGAAATATATGATAAAAATGAATACAATAGGTGCTCGGCATTGGTCAATTGAACATGTGATTTTTCACCCATTCCTGAGACTCCTCACTGTTCAGGACATTTGCTCTTTTGATGAACCATGACTGGGAATCCACTGCATTGTGGGGCTGATCAGTTGGGGACCAGCCATGAGGTCCTGAGGGGCTCAGTTGTGCTGGAGCACCAGCATTCCACCTTGACTTTGATGCACATGTATTTTTTTTCTATTTTACTCATCACCTGGTTCAAAGGGATTCTCATTAGAGATCTAAAGAGTTTTCTAGGACGTCTTGTTCCTACAAATGATTCAAAAGACCTAAGAAGAAAGATCCGCATAGAAGAGAAGATGTGTAAATAAATGTGTCTTTGAGGAAAAAGTTTTGATGTGTTTTACCATCATATTGTTATATGACAACAGCACGAGGTTTGTGCTAACTGTGCCTGTCTAAGAAAACAAACAAGCCCGATGAATGCATTTTATGTAAACAACCAAAGAACTATAAACCAGGTGAGACACGTGAGCAGAGTTTTACTGAAAGGAATGGACAGAAGAGGAACTGGAAATTTAGAAAGACATGTAAAATGTTCTTACATCATTTCTTTTTTTGCATTTCTAACACTGAAAGAAATGTGATGGGAATATACTGACACGTAAACCGAAATTATATTTTCTGTCTTACCTTGGAAGACCGGAAGGTAAATGCTGTTGACTTTACATCAGCCTTTTCTTTGTCCATGAGTAGAAGGTTTTTGTCTTCCATGAGACTCAAGTACTTTCCTGTTGTGACATGGCGTAGTCGGAAGGGCTGGCCCCATCTTATGTGGCTTCCACTCCACCTGACAAACACAGTTAAGACTTGATCCAACAGCATCCACAATCACAGGAGAAAAAGCAATTAAAATGTATGTGTCGGACATTGAAATTTGCTTTGAATATATTGCCTAATGTTCTCAAAACTCTTAGGATGTTGGTGGTATTAATTTCATTACACAAAGAACAAAATGGTTATCCAGAATGATTAACTAACAGTCAATGTTACATACCTAAAAGTAAATAGGAGTGAAATTTAACTCTAGGACTTCACCTTTAAGTAAATAGAACACCATCCACACTACATACTACTCTATGCAAAGATGACTAAGGACTTATGTTCCAAGGTAACATCTAATCGTGAGTCACAGATACAGAAATTATGATAGAAATTTTAAGTTTAAATAATACTTTAGATTCACTAGCTCAAAAACTTTTGTTGGAAAAATAAAACTTTTGTTGGATTCGCACAGACTTGAAAAACAGTGGTAATTTAGTCAACGCTTAAGTCTGATTAATTGGAGCTCATATATACAAAGTACATACTTGAAAAAAGAAACCTATTCCTAGGCATTGAATTTTAATAATGTGAAACAGTTATATCATTAAAAACTCATCAGCAAAAAGGACAAACCGAGAAAAGAATTCTAAAAAGGTCAAGAGAGAAAAAAGTAAAACACAATAATCGGAACATGCAAACTAAGGTTGCAGAAAAAAGGTAAAAAGCAAAGTTATGATCATTAAAACCTGCTTTTCGAAATAACTTTCAGACAGGGTCGAAAAGAAAACTCAAGATGCAGACCATCCTTGTTTTGCACAGTGCTGTGTCAGCTGAGTCGTGTGTATCTGAACCTTGGACTCACAAAAGTAAGGTAGGGAAACAAGGCTCTAATATGCAAGACGTTCAGTTAATATGGTGATGTGCAAAGAAAGACAGTGTCTTATCATTGACAAGAAGTATGCTGACAAATAATGTTTTAAAGAACTAAAAGTAAATGAATGACAGCAATTACCATGCATATAAATTCAAAAGGAGATAGTGATGGTAAAGTTGCTATTAAACAAATTAGAACTTAAGGCAAAAAACATAAAGGGGATACCATCATGTACTTTATAAAGAGAAAAAATGTAACTCTAAAAAGAATGTTTGTGGTGCTCCTGGGTGGCTCAGTTGGTTGAGCGTCCGACTTCGGCTCGGATCATGATCTTGCGGTTCATGAGTTTGAGCCCCATGTTGGGTTCCGTGCTGACAGCTCAGAGCCCAGAACCTGCTTCGGATTCTGTTTCTCCCTCTCTCTCTGCCCCTATCCTGCTAGTACTCTCTCTCTCTTTCAAAAATAAAATAAATAAAAACATTAAAATACATACATATATACATAAAACGTATGTCATGAAGCTTCCCATGTCAATGGAAAAAAGAAAACAAAACAAAAGAAACAGAGATAATGATTTATAAAGACAATTACACTGGAAGCTTTTTATCACTATGTATTAAATCGAAAAGATAAAAATTATAGAAATGAAGGATTTCTATATGATTGAATTAATCAATAAACTTACTTTAATATAGGGTCATTACAAAGGTCACCAAAAATTATAAGGTTTTTTCCCTATTCTACAAATTGAGAATACTTTTTTCAAATTTGCCAATCTTAGTAAACTCTAAGTCAATTTTATGCTGTTTTTCTAACCTAGATTTTTGGCTTCAAATATTGGCAAGGAAAACTAACAGTAGAAAGATATTGTGATAAGGTCATTATTACACGGATTTGTTTATAAAGAGAATTTGGACAATCCACCAACTAAATTAATAACCATGTACCAATAAATCCTACTAATAACACAGTATTGTTAAGAATGAAATTAGGGGTGCCTGGGTGGCTCAGTCGGTTAAGTGTCCGACTTCCGCTCAGGTCACCATCTCACAGCTGTGAGTTTAAGCCCTGCATTGGGCTCTGTGCTGAGAGCTCGGACCCTGGAGCCTGCTTCAGATTCTGTGTCTCCCTCTCTCTCTCTCTGCCCCTCCCCCTCTCATGTTCTGACTCTCAAAAATAAACATTTTTTTAAATGCAATTAAAGTTCGGTTACCAACAACAGAATATTAAATCATTTCTAGTCTGGTAAATAAACCAGCTCTGTTCATTCCCTTCTTATAAAATTAAGTATATCCTTGGCAGATGCTTTGGAAAACACAATTATTTTTAATATTCATTTCCATTATTTGAAGAAGCATCTGAATGCTTTTCTAAGCAATGACCCATCTTAATTACCATAAAAAATTCATTTTCAAAATAGTCCCAAATTTTGACAAAGTAATACTCTGCAACAGAACTTCTAGAAGGTATTCTGGATATTATGTGCGAATCTACTGACTAGGGCACATATTTACAAGCACTCCTTTCAAGTCACCAAGAGGATTATGTCAGGGATGGAATGAATTGGGACAATCACTGGCAAAACTCTGTAAAGTCTAAGCACATTTTCTTTAGCTTAAAGCCACTCAAATTAGCTGGCCTGCAATGCCCATGGCCCAGAAGAAAAGAGGAAAAGCCTAGGAGAATCAAGGGGGCAAGACAATATCTAGTAAAAACTGAAAATAGGAATAGTAACATTAAAGCAATTTCCTATGGTAACATAGCAGAAACCTGTTCCCTGTGTCTTATCTACATTTACCTGAAATGACTTCAAAGGAATGGGGAGTATTTGGTCATTCCTCACGACACATCCATCTTTGATTTTTGTGGGGTTTTTGTGACATACAAGAAAGCTAAATGTGAAGGACACATAAGGCATATTTTTCATTGCAGTGATCATTCCCACTACAGAAACCAGCACATATCGTACTTACAATGTTCCTACAACTTCACGTTGGGGTAAAATACAGCAAAGTGTGTTCCATCTTATTTAACTCCCAAAACTGAAACTTACCTTATTAAAATGTTCATGATACTGAAAAACTTATGTCAACATTACTGAGTATGTGATACAAAATATCTAAGTACTAGGCTGTATAAATTACAACAAATACATAGTTGGAGACCTTCTTCTAGGAAAAAAAGAACACCCCAAATACTGTAACATAAATATTGACTTTTGGGTGCAAAATTCCATTATACGCATAAGGAGAATCATTGACTCTTATTTCCTAAGTATAAAGAAAAAATGAGTATTTGCATGGCCAAGGTACGCAATAAGACACGGAAACTAAATGCAGTCACATTAACAGTGAAGTCAAAGTAGATCAAAAATTAAACAGAACCTGAAGAAACACTTTAACATAATTACATTCATTACAAGTGAACCTGCTTTCCTACCGTCGACAAGAAGATGACATGGTATAAATCGAGGGTCACACGGTACAAAAAAAACCATCTCTCTTCCATCTTTTAAGTGGTTGAAAAGCTACTTGCTCTGCCTTCTAGCGTCAGGCTCCCCTTGCTGCCATTTGGACTCTCAAACAATCCGCAGAGCCGCATACCTGGGGCTCGGAAGCGCCCCCTTTCACCTCTGGCTGACCACAAGACCAGGCTCTTTCTATATTATCAGTCATCCGAATTCAAAGTTAAAACAAAGCCCATGCTTCCCAATTCAAACTTCAAACATTCGGCAACAGTAGAGACACAGAATCCAGACCAGATGTCCAGAACGATCTGGATTTATGTAATTACAGTTCATCAATTACAAGGTTGACAATGTAAAAAGGAAGCCCTGTCTGGTTTTCAGGAATTCACATCCTTCCTTTTGTTTTCTGTTTTGTTTAATCTATAAAATGAGACAGATTTAGGGCCTCGTTTGCTCAAAAAAAAAAAAAAAAAAAATTTCCATTTCTTTAAGCACACAATCACGAAGGGTACGGATATCTATGAATTTGAAAACCCATCTGGAATCTGTTTTCCAATGGCAATGCCACCTCTCTAAGCTTCATTTCTATCAACTTTTTCACTTCTCTAATTAAGCTGCATTTTTATAAAACACAAAGGAAAGGAAATACATACACATATTTAAAATCTCTTTCCCTAAATTCTCTGAAAAATCTATAAAACACATGAAAGCTCAGTCTCTCTCCCTTTGTTTTATGAGGATGACACTCCTTTTTCCATCTCATTAAGAGATGCATTTCGAATAAAATTGTACATTGAATTTCAATATTTACCAAAAGCTTTAATGTTTAGGTGGATTTCATCAAGTAGGTATTTATTTAGAAGAAACATATCCTCAGTTAATTAATAATTAATGAGGTTAATATAGAAGAACTTTTTGAGGTTATAGACTTACTATCATAAGAAATGTAAAAAATAAGGGACACCTGGGTGGCTCAGTGGGTTAAGCATCTGACTCTTGGTTTCAGCTCAGGTCATGATCTCATGGTTCATGGGTTCGAGCCCCACATCAGGAGCCTGCTTGGGATTCTCTCTCTCTCTCTCTCTCTCTCTCTCTCTCTCTCTCTCTGCTCTCCCCTGCTTGCATACTCTCTCTCTCTCAAAATAAATAAACATTTAAAGAAAAGAAATATTAAAAATCAATTTAATTTACATACATATTTTTATTGCATAGGTGTATGATAGCATGAGTTAAAAAAAAGTGTTTCAATCATAAAAAAATATATAACTGGGATTAAAAAAACGGTCATGACAGAGTAATAAAAATAATGATTTAATAATTTTTTAAATAATTTTTACTGTTAATAAAGACTATGTTCAAGTGTTTTCAATAAACAAAGATGGGTATTAAATCACATCAGTATTTGTAATTGATAAGATACTTTAAAAAAAAGTATGCCCGTTTTGTTTTAAGACGTCCCTACTTATAACACACTGTAAGTTATATTCTACACATCTGTTTAAACTGACAGTAGAAACTGTCTATGTCAAAACTTACAATGTTCAAGGATACATTTTCAAATTTTTTCAAAATTAATGTATAGGATATATAAGAAAAACAACTAAAGATCACCAAACTATCTTTTGTTATTATTATTAAAGTTTATTTATTAAGTTTAAGAGAGAGTGAGAACATACATAAAGGGGCAGAGAGAGAGGAAAACAGAGAGAATCCCAAGCAGTCTCTGTACTGCCAGCATGAAGCCTGATGCAGGGCTCGAACTCATGAGCCATGAGATCATGACCTGAGCTGAAGCCAAGAGTCAGAGGCATAACCACCTGAGCCACCCAGGCACTTCAAGACTACTAAACTATCTTAATCATCATTAGATAAGCATTAATCTCAAAATATTAGGTCTTCAAAGGTAGTTACTCTATACGAAGACAGTTCCCTATACCCCTCCATGGAAGCTATAATCTTAAATCAATAATTTCCAAAAGTATAATAAAATAGGGAAAAAATACATGAAAACTTAGCACTTTTTAGGCAAAGGACTGAACCTTCCAATCATTAAAAAAAAAAAAAAAAGATCTAATATTCTATTTAAAATAGTTCAAAATGACACCTTTATCATCAATATTGAATTTATATAAAGGAACTAAAAGTCAATCTCTGAACAACTTTTTCAAGTCACCAGAAAGGGAAAAAAAGAAGATATACCTATATATATATACCTGCAGGTATAGAATATATACCTATATATACACAGGTATATATATATATATATGTGTGTGTGTGTGTGTGTGTGTGTGTATATATATATGTGTGTATATATATATACGTGTATATATATATACATATATATATATGAATATATGCCTATATTCATATATAGGTACCTATATATATATAGGTATATATTCATACCTATATATATGTATACACCTGTATATATATAGGTATATATTCTATACCTACAGGTATATATATATATATACATATATATATATATGTATATATAGGTATATATTCATACCTATATATATGTATGTATATTTGTTTCTATAACAAACACATACACAGTGACTTTGTATTACACTCCAAATTTCTCTCTCAGCTATCAAGATGTCTGTAAATAAAGGCAGTGACTGACAGTAAGACCCCTGTGCTCTCGTTCAAGTTCAAGTTTCCTGTTTTACATGTGCCTTTAGAAGGTTAAATCCAGAGTCCATCAGACCTGAAATGTGGAACAGGCTCGCAAACCATCTGTCCCGTTTCCAAACCTTATGTCACCCTCTCCTAGGAGCACCTTCTGCCAGGAGATTCACAGACCGAGATGACATGATGTCACCAAAACAAATAAGGCTAAAGACAAGAGCAGACTATATAGAATTATTGTGTGCTGCCTGGTGAATTTAGGCCAAAGAAAGCCAAAGAAAGGTAGGCAGAAGGGAAAGAGTAGAAACCCTCCACCACTTCCTCAATGTTTCATTTGCTTGTTTACTGTAGTTAGCATGAGTATTTCCCATAAAAGCACAGGTCCACAGGATTTTGTACACTTGGAGCACTCGGCTGTATTTACGGCTTCTACTTACGCAACTCTTAGTGTCTCTAGTCTCCACAGGGAACGTGCATGGACAGATACAGCACCGCCTTCATAGTGAACAGTTCTGGTTAAAAAAAGAAAAAAAAAGCACAGTTTCAACAAGTGTCATTCTTGGACTCTATTTTCTCAAGGCAATTACAAGAAAAAAAGCCAAGGGAAAGCCTTTGGATAAGGTCATACTTTCTGGCACGAGACAATATAGCTGGAAATAAAAATAACAAAAGTAACAGTAAGTGATCAATTTAAGTTTGCCCTGAATAAACATTTAACTTAAACATATTCTCACATCATTTTCTCCCTCTACTCCCATTTATTCCCCCTCCCTCTCCCCAGCCCACCTCTCCTCCTCTCTCACTCTCTCTCTCTCCCTCTCCTCCAGTGAATACATTCACCTTACTTATTTAACTTAGGTCCATAAAAGTATTCAGCTATGAGTTTATGTGTAGTTTAATATCTTATTATTTCAACACATGCATATAATTATTTGCAGTTCTATATTCTGTTCTAGATACATCAAGCACTGTAAAGAAATATAAGAACACATTAATTTTAATGTTTTATTATAATCTGCAAACTTACTAAAGATAGAAAAGTATCACCGAAAATATAAACATCAACCAAAAAAGTCTCACAAACAAGGAGAGAATTATCTTTGAATGCACATCACACACACCCAAATTCCAAAGCTCTCATAACGATAATTATGACAGAAGTAATGCTAGGTAATTTACATATGTTATCCAACTTGAGCTCTGTGCCAACCTGTTGAGATGGTTTTACGGAAACCAATGCTTATACGTGCTCCTTGTTTCTTCCCTGAGACTCACCCTCTCAGTCTACTGAATCTTTGTAATCATTCAAACACACATAACCCTGTCCTGTCTCAAACATAATAAGACCATTGACCATATTCTCCTCTCCTGCTTGCCCCCATATCTGCCTCATGGATCACCTCCTGTCAGATCTCTGTGCCTCCACTTGCTTCCTGATCCACCTCTCCATTGAAACACATTTGCTAAGGCCATCATATGACATCCGTGGTCCAAGATCCAATGGAATATTGATGGTTTTTTACACTGGAGAAATACCTACTATCTTGACAGTTTTTCTAATACCATTCTCACCTACTTTTCTTCTCACTTACTGAGATATTCCTTCTCATTGTTTTTATTGTGGAAATTTTCAAATAGACACGAAAGTAGAGAGAGTATGATGATAAATCTCAATATACCCAGCACACAGTGTAAACAACAATCAACACAGGGCCAGTCTTGTTTCACCTATAACCTCTAGTAACCCATTCACATACAACTCCCCCCCAAAAATACATACATACATATGTAGATATAGATATGTAGATATACAGACACACACACACACACACACACACACACCTATGTAAAATCTGCTTTTATGAAATATCCATTTTGTTCATATTTTCCATTTTCTCAAAAATGTTTTGTTTTTCTGTTGCTCTTTCAAATCAAGATACAAACAAGATGCACAAATTGGTTAAATATCTTAAATTTCTATTACTCATAGTTTTCCCTTCTTTTTTCCTTGTTGGCATTATCTCTTGACAAAAATCTGTACCATTTGTCTTGCAGTTTCTACATTCTGGATTTTTCTGATGACATGCTCATAGTGTTGACATGTACTTCTAAAATGGTAGTTGGGGGGCGCCTGGGTGGTGCAGTCGGTTAAGCGTCCGACTTCAGCCAGGTCACGATCTCGCGGTCCGTGAGTTCGAGCCCCGCGTCAGGCTCTGGGCTGATGGCTCGGAGCCTGGAGCCTGCTTCCGATTCTGTGTCTCCCTCTCTCTCTGCCCCTCCCCCGTTCATGCTCTGTCTCTCTCTGTCCCAAAAATAAAATAAAAAACGTTGAAAAAAAAAAATTTAAAATGGTAGTTGGATTTCTAGGTCTAGTGTTTTATACTTCCTGATACATCACATCAGGTGGTAATAATGACTACTTGGTCTACCTTTTTAATATTAAAATTGATCAGTAGGTTTAGAATCACCTTGATCCATCTATCATAAGAATTTTAGGTATACCTACAAACAGTGCCATAGCAGTGATTTTCAATCATGGCTGCAGATACAATTATGTGGATAGCTTTTTAAAACGTGATGCTATGCCCTCACCAATGACCAATTAAACCAAATCTGGAGTCCGGATTTTTTTTTTTTTAAGTTTATTTTTATTTTGACAGAGAGAGAAAGAGAGAGAGCGAGAGCAGCAGCCAGGGAGGGGGAGAGAGAAGGAGAGACAGGAATCCCAAGCAGGCTCCACACTGTAAGTGCAGAGCCTGATATGGGGCTCAAACTCACAGACTGTGAGATTGTGACCTGAATCAAGATCAAGAGCCAGAAGATTAACTGACTGAGTCACCCACGTGCCCCTGGAGTCAGGATTTTTAAAAGTTCTCCAACTGGTAGTAATCAGAAGCTAAAGTGTGGAAATCATGGTCCAGATCAGTTTCTACACAGCAGCACTATTGACATTTTGGGCCAGCTAATTCTTTGCTGTGGGTGGCTGTCCAGTGCACTTAGGATGTTCACTGATTCCTGGACCCTACCAACCAAATGCCAATAGTACTTGTCTCTTCTACTCCCCCTCCCCAGTTATAACAACCAAAAATGTTCCCAAGATATTACCAAAATGTCTTCTGGGGGACAAAACCATCCCCACTGTCAAGCTACTGGTTTAGATTAGTGGCTCTCAATCTGTAGTATTAGAATTATATTGCAGGCTTTTTAAAATACAGATTGCTGGACCCAATCTGTTGCTACCCCCAAGTTCCCAATTTAGTAGATCTATGGTAAGGAGAAGAATTTGTATTTCTAATAAGTTCCCAGGTGACATTGATGTAACTGGTCCACATTCTGAGAATCACTGGGCTAGAACCATTATTTTATTAGGGCAGTGATTCTTGGCCTCGGTTGTATACTAGAATAATCTGAAAAGCTTTACAAACTCCAACGCATGGACAATTCTCAAATTAAATCAGCATCTCTGGATATATACTTAAAAATAACAAATAATAAAATATAGATGTAATGTGTATATTATATGTATATAGATACACAGATTTTTAACTCAATCACGACCTTTAATAAAGATCTTGTACTTGGCCATAAAAAAAACCTTTATCAGATTTTTTTAAAAGTAAAGCCATGTACTCATCCTATTTTCTAATTATAACGAAAATTGGAAATAAATACTAAAAAGATTTTTAAAATCTAACAACTTGGAAAACTCAGTAACTCTTATAAATAATTCATGGGTCAGAGAGGAAATAGAAATTAGACCTTATCTAGGATGTAATGAGGACAAGAGTACTTCAGAACAAATCTATGATTCACAGGTAAACTTTGAAAAATTTAGGCCTGAAATCCCTTGATTATTAAAGAAGTAATGACCAAAAAAAAAAAAAAAAAAAAAACCTTGAGTTGTCTGAAGAAATTAAATAGTGAACAAAATAAACCAACAGAAAATAAAGAAGGGATTCTATGATGTATTATTAAGATAAGTAAAATGCAAGAATGCAAATGATATAAATTTTCTGTACAATAAATCATAATAAATCTATTGCATGTATGTATGTATATACGTATCTATGCAGAGGTATTATCTATATGAACATGGAGAAAGTTCTTGAATAATGAACACCAAAACAGTAATGTTAATCACATAATAAAAGTTATGTAGGAACTAAGCTTGAAACTAAAATGTACTCTAAAATAAAAACAGTATTACGTAATGTTTACGTACAATTGTATACATTATATATAACAAGGTATAGGAAGAATTATCCTTCAAATGTTTTACTCTCATCACTTTTCCTTTATTAACTGAATTTAACAATGACCTTTTATTATTTGTATAAGTAGAAATCTAATGATATTTTAATTTGGGCGGAAATTAACACTTAAAACACAAATATAAAGTCAAAAGGAAAGTTGGAACCTCCTTTCTGGATATTTGTCTCCTGAAGGGACTTCTTGCCTTTCATTATTTCTCTCTATTTTTTTTAAATGATTCATCAGCAAGTGTAGAAAATCCAATGACCTGCAATTCTTCAATGACAACCTGGGAAATCTTCGCTTTTATACAGAGTCTGCCATATAAATACATGCCATGTGCTGAATGTCACTGGTTGTCATATCAAGTAGGCATTGGCTATTTCAGACTGAAAAGTAACCTTACAATATCAAAATCCTAAAGGTAGTAAGGATCTCAGTCCATCATAAAATTTTTTTTTTCAACGTTTATTTATTTTTGGGACAGAGAGAGACAGAGCATGAACGGGGGAGGAGCAGAGAGAGAGGGAGACACAGAATCGGAAATAGGCTCCAGGCTCTGAGCCATCAGCCCAGAGCCTGATGCGGGGCTCGAACTCACGGACCGCGAGATCGTGACCTGGCTGAAGTCGGACGCCCAACCGACTGCGCCACCCAGGCGCCCCTCAGTCCATCATAAATGACACTAAGGACATGTAAACTTATTTAAAAACTGGTCCACTTGGAGAAATCCACCTGTTCTATGAAGCGATCATCCCTTTTCCCTGCAATATGTCTCAAGTATCAAGTTTAAAGATCCACAAGTTTACCAAATGTATTAGAGACCATATTTAAACTCATACAACTAAATGATCATCTTCATAGCAAGTGTTTCTGTCAACAGGAAGACTAAGAAAAGAGAAAGATTCTCTAAGAAAGCGAGCAGACCTATAGCAACAGCACCTATGGGCTCAGTCAGCATCACATGAGATTTCAATGCAAACAGCGTCAATGACACGAAAATGCAAGGAAAGGCCATGCGGATATGAAACAATAAAGTGCTTGTGCAACTCTCTGCTCACTGAAAGACTATCTTTGCAATGAACCAAAACAATGTTACAGCTGATAAGAAAAACATGTGTTAAGATAACTGGCCATTGGTATCCCTTGTAACAGAATTTTTTTTTTTCAAAGAATCTTCCACCTCATGAATCAGTAAAACTCCAAGTCACTCAAGGTGCCTGGGTGGCTCAGTCGTTTAAGCGTCCAACTTCGGCTCAGG